TACGCTGCCCCGCCAGCCCGCCTGCCCAGCACCCCGCAGTATGGTGCTCCGCAGCCCCACGGGCCTGACTATGGCTATGCCCCACCGCCTGCCCGGCCCTCGGAGCCTGCCTATGGCTATGCACCTCCGCAGGGCCGCTACCAGGACCCCTACTATGGGGGATACGGGGGGAGGAATGGCTCCGAAGTGCCCTACATGCCACAGAGCTCCTGGAAAGCTGAGCCAGTGCATCCTGCTATTAACACCGTGGGCCAGGCTCCTCCTGGGCTCTACCAGCCACCTGGCACGAAGAAGACCTACATCACCGACCCCGTGCTGGCCCCGCAGCCGCCTGTGCTGCAGCAAAAGGTAGGAGATGCGGGTGTTCACCAGACTTCTTGGAGGAGTGGATTGCGGCAGGGATGAACATGCCCTGGGAGCCTCCCTGAAAGGCAGCATGGGGGGGTTCAATGGTGCCTGCGAGGCCTTGGGACATGTTTCCCTCTGCATGGCTTCTTAAGAGCTGGAAAAAGGGAACTCTTCTCTGCTTTGAAATGAGGCTTTTGTGGGGACCTGGAAACACCATCAGCCTTGAAGGGCAAGATGGCGTTACGTGCAGAGGCGCAGCATCACCAGTGGGCAGGAGGGAGGTTTCATCCGTCTCACATGCTGTTACCAGCAGAGTTCACTGGCCATACCTCTGTATGGCATTGTTACACTTGGGTCTTTCCTTCCGGGCATTCCCAAGATCAAACGAGAGGTTGGGAGCCCCACATGCCTGTGGACGCCTCTGTTCACCAGACAAATCCTTCCTCTTCTTAGGCAGGTAGGAGGTACGCAGGAGGCTGGGTTTGATTGTGGTTCAGAGCAATTGCAGAGGTTGACCTCTAGTGTGTTGCTGTTCAGAAATCACTTATTGCTGAAACCACATGGAAATGAGTTCCCACAGAGCTCAGCTCTGATTTTCCTCTCAGGTGGTGATACGTCGGGGTGGCCTCCGTCCACTTGAACTGATGCCTCATCCTCGTAAAGCAAAGCTAGTTTGAAATAGAAAGCTAAATTGGTCTGCCTGGTTTCTCTGCCCAAACTGATGCTGGCTGGCTTTTGTCATTTCTGTCACTTCTTTTTCATTGCTAACATGACTCTGGGGACACACAGTGCTTTAGCTTTGTGGGGTCCTCATAGTGTGTGATGAGCTTAGGCTCCACTGAAGGGTGGAGGCAAGCCAAGCCCAGGCAGGAAGGCAGTGAACTCATCGCTGCCCAGCCCACCCTGGCTCATCGCAGCACATCCCTGCTCTTGAGCTTGTGGATGCTCAGAGAGGAGGGGGGAAAAGCTTCTGACACATAGCAGAAAGTCTGTCCTTTTGGCATTTCCTTCACTAGCATCACACAGACTGTTTTCCCTGAATTCGAGATTTCCTGACAGTAGGAACTTCTGAAGGCAAAGACGTTTCTTCAGGCAGTTTAGAGAGGGCAGTAAATTACACAGTCCTTGAAATATTATCTACTAGCAACTAAGAAACTGCTTTTTATCTTTCCTTCCCCTTCCTTCCCAAGATGCTAGGAGTGGGAAGAGAAGTAATGAACTCTCAGCTTTGCAGGTACTTGGTATAGGACTTAGATTGGAAAGCAGGGAAAGGTAAGAAATCTGCACGTAGCCTTAACTTGTGTAAATTGTTGTGGTTCCAGTGGAGTCACTGTGAGGGAATGCTGAGGTACAGCAGATCTGTATTTAGACTTCTACAGATACAAGTAGGCTTATATATATAAAAAATTTTTAAACTTTAGTTCACTCGGTATCTCTATGGAAACACAAATCATCTCGAACCACAAACAGCACAAGCCTGTTAGTCTCATTTGCATTACAAAGCTGGAAGGACAATTTAATTTAGCTCAAGTTTGGGGTTTCATGTATGTGTGTATATTTTTTTTTATATGTATATATTCGTATATGTGCACGTGGCATTTGCAAATACCGTGCAGAAGTTTCATATATATCTTTATAAAAATAATTTCAGTTTTTCTGCAGAACAGACTCCCTTTCATTCCCTTCCAGCCTGCTAAATATCTGCATTATTACCTATTTCGCTTTTGAACTTACAGCTCTTGTCTAACATACTGCTGGCAGACTTGGCTTAATTGCTGCTTTGTAACATACATAGTTTAATTGGTGAAGAATTGAAGGTGATCTTAACAGGAGATTCTCGATAATAAAACACTGTATGCTTTGCTAGTGAAGCAGCGTTGTCCAGTTTTGCTGCATGCTCTTTTCTTTTGCAGAGTAACTCATTCATAAAATTAACTTTTGGAAATACTTTATTTAAAGGGGAAAAGAAGGAAGTTTATGTTAGAACCAGATACCTGATAGGGAGATCTGTCACTGTAATTTGATTTGTTGGCTACAGGGTGAATTTTTACATGTTTCCTACATACTGGCTTCTGCATTTTGTTGTGTTTTGCCTTTTCAAGGTTGGTTTGAGGCCTTTCAGTTAAGGAAATGGACTTGAGAAGCCAGGGTAAGAAGGTGGCATTAATGCATATCACGTAAAATGCAAGAAGACCTTTAGGAATCTTTCTTCGTGCAAGGGAATGATTTCAAAATATAAAACAATTTCTAAAGGTATTCAGAAAAGTGCATTCTTAATCTTGAATGCACTTTGTGTGCAAAATGCTAAGGGTGTTGTAAGAAATCCATCTGAGATTAAAAGTTCATGGTCCTTAATTCTAATACATACCACGATCCATCACTGTGAGAGGTGAAATTTTTCATTAGATTTGTTTAGGACTTTTAAAGGGTAAAAAAAAAATAAATTATATTTTGCATTTTGGCTAAGAATTGGTTCGTGGTACTCTGGCTCTGTGTTTTTTGTTGCTTACTAATCATGTTGAAGTCGCTGCTGATCCAAAATAAATCTGGATTGGTATGGGAACAGCAAATAATCTGTACTGGTTCTTAAAGCTTACTGAGAACAATGAGTTTAACTCATACACAGTGCTGTGTTGTATTCTGGTCTTGGGCCAGTTATGGAAGTAAGAATCATGCATGTGAAACGCCTGTGCATTTTAGCCTTTTGTGTCACCCTGTCTACCATTAATGCCCAGGTCCTAGTTAGGAAATGAACCGATGGAGTGCATGTCCTTATTTAAACCTTCGTGTGCCTCAAGGTCATTCCTGACTGAACACCTCAGGAGCTGTCTCCTCTGGGTGGTAGGTGGTGGGGATTTCTGCAGGAGCAGCAGCAGAGTTGTCATGAGACCATCACAGAAACATGTGACACAACTGGGTGCTCTTACACTTCTTGCCAGTGATGCTGTGCCAGCTCAGACCTAGTCAAAATCTGAAGCCTTTCCCTTAACTTCTCCTGTCCCAAAGGACAGAGAGCATAAGACCAGGGGGACTCATTAGCTGCACTGACTTCTGGCACCAAGATGTCCACAGCACGAAAAACAAAATGGCAAAGCCAGTTTCTGACATGGAGAATTACTGCATGTTTGCCCTGTGGCCAAAACAGAGTTGACAAAATTCCCACCACTTACCAGCTCAGCTGTCATCATATATTTCTGTGCTGAACTACTTAAGATGCCAAACATCCTTGTCAAGGTCTCATATCTCCAAATAGGTCTAGGTCCTTTCACTGTTCTTGATCATGTTTGAGTGTTTTTGAGACACTGTTGTTGTCCTCCAGGTGGCTTTGTGGACCTTTCAGGGATCTCATGTGTCTCCTGGTATACTTGAGGGGTGGCCACTGTAGGCAGCTGGGAGGTCTGTTCTTCATAGATCTTGGACCCTTTGTATTCCCCTTCCTCTTTCTGAATGTACTCATAGGCCTGGGGAGCCACATTCCTTCATAAAGGGACCTGCATATTTTCAGCATCCAGGCTGAATGTCATTGAAATCACTTGAGATAGCTTGTGGGTTTGGTCCAGAATGGTGAAAATCTTAAAAAACCCACTCATCTCTTGAGACCAATCTGCTGATTCAGGAAGGGTAAAAGTTTCTTGTAGCTCTGATTTACTACAGGATCCAAATCCATGCTCCTTTGCTGCAGATTGCCTGGAAGGAGCAAGGGAGCAGTATCCTTGTGGTAGCTGTGTCTGGTTTTACTGACATGGTCCAAGCATACAAGTTCCCTAACCCTCTTAGTTCACACCAGCCATAAGCCACATTGTCCCTATTTACACATATACAAGCATTGGTGCATATGGAGCATGACATTCTCTTCAGACAGGCCTTCACTGTTGTGCACTATTTTAGGTGAGTGCTGTGGCAATTAAGTAGGAAGACAGCTGGAAATCAGAAGGTAAAATTAACAAGGCAACTTATGCTTTTGACATGGTTTGGGGGGTGGTGGCCGCTCATGATTAGCAGACCTCAACCACTGCATTGTTTCAGCGCTGCTGGAAGTGGTGTTTCTTTGCAGCTTGCTGCCACCAGCATCGACATGGTCTCATAAAACTTGTAATGCACAAAAAGGGACTGTGACAGCTTACTTTTTTCTCATTTTACACAGCTTTTGTCAGTTTTTCCACTGATTTAATACCTGTGATGGAGACATTCTCTTGGAGTTTTCATCTTTGCCTCAGAAACATCTGGTCACAAGCATCCTTTGCTATGACTGATGCACTTCTCTTGTACTGGTTTAATAATTTTTACAGTCTGCCATCACTCACATAAAGTAGATACCTTCGGCACTTCCGTTTGAACTGAGACTAATACTCTTGCTGTTTGCTGTTAATCTAGTGACTGTTCTCTGCAGATGAATAAATGCAATCTGCCAGATTCCCTCCTGCTGTCACAGGGATATATTCTTTCTTAGTGTTGCTTTTTGCTTGTGGAGAAAGGCAGGCAACTTGCTGTGCACTGTCTGTCTCCCCTTGTGTATATTCTCCCCCAAAATCTCATATCTCCACCCAAGTGTCCTCTTCCCTAAAGTCATGTATTGAATATTTCCACTGTATAGGATTCAGAGACTGTGTAAAATGATGGTTGAAGTTGGTTTTCTATCAGTGTGAGACAGTAGCTTCCCATACTTTTAAAATGCTAAAATAAAGCATTTAACCCAAGTAAAATAAAAAAGGCTTATTTGGAATATTCTACTTTGGCATTTAATGAATTAAAAAAGACAGAAAGCTAATGTAAAATGAAATAAAAGGTGAAATTCCAAGATTCAGAGTTGAATTTGCGATTTCAACATGACATTTCAAAATTTCCAGATGAATATGCAGTTCCTTTCTACCCTGAGAATAGCAACAAATGTCAAAATGTTGACATTCTTCACAAAACAGTAGTTCCAAGTTCCAACCAGCACTAGCTGTATATCAGCTGCTGACTCTGTCATTGCTTCTGGGTGGATTAAATTAAATGCC